AGGCAGTGAGATGACATTACACTTTTGACCAATTAAAACCATGTTTAAAGTCAGTGGCGCATTGTTAAACGATATTTAAGTGGTGCGTTTTAGAGATGTGCGGGTGCGCAACAATTGTTATGGACACAGGTATGCCCTCGAGGTTTACTAATGGTTTTTTGTTATATTTCATTTATATACATTTTATTATAGAGTACATCTGGTCCTTTCACAGAATCATACTGTTTAATGAAACAAAAAAACAATAATAAGAAAAAAATATATATGTAAAGAACAAATCATATCATTAAAAAATCTTTTGAGTTCATTATCAGAATTAAGTTTGTACTATAATTGAAAGGACATTTGGATTGCTGAAAATGCTTTTCAGATATTTAGATAAGTCAGGTGGAACATTACAACACAGCCCTTAGAAGGTTGCAACATTCTTTATGGCATGCTTTATGTGTAATATTGCCATGCGTGATGGATGTCTGTTGGACATGAATGAGGACACATCAGAAGACTTTATAAAAGCTTTGTGAAGCTGCATGTGCCAGCAGAGGAGTCTATGCTGGCAACAGCACAAGCAAGGAGGGATCAGCTGGTGGAAAAGCTGAATCATCTGTAGCCTAGAAAGAAATCTAGATTGTGTGAGGCAGTAAAATAACAGCCCAACTGGCTTTCATTTGAACATTTTAAAACACCTTAAAAACTGTAGGTTGTGTTTTGTTTGAATAAAGATTGCAGTACTATTCACATTTTGCGGACTGCAGACCCAAAATATATATATATTTTTTTTAAAAAAGCACAAGCATAAGTTTCAGCAGTGAGTGCCTGTTTTCCATGTCTTGTGACATTATATCGCTTTCACCACTGTGCGGATGATCTGGTGATGCCAGAAGACAAGGACACGCTTGCTGCTACCTCATCCTATGCCTGCTTCACCTCGAAAGGCTTGGTGCTCCCATAGATGATGTGCTCGTGCCTTTTCACCTTGCGCATTTTTTCAGGTGAAAAGTGATCTGGATCTGCCTGCCTGCCTACTGATCTTCTGACCCTTTTCTGCCCTTAGACCCTGAGACCTGTCCTGCCCGCCTGCCAGCCTACAATTCTTGCCTGACCATTGCCTGTCCTCTGACTACTGGATACCCGTCTTGCCCCGCAGATCATCCCTGCGCCTCACTCGACCTTCACCTGTGGCATGACTATGACTCTGTCTAGCGTTTTGGATCCTGTTCTGGCTCTCTCTGGTTTGGACCTGACTGTTTTAACTATGATCTGCCCCGCACCTCATTAAAGCCACTCCGTGTACTTGATCACTTCTGCCATAGAATGCATTGAAATTTTGGTATAAAATCCATGCGTTGATTAATAAATCTCATTAACAATTATTCATGCCATGTGTTTTATGCAGAAATGCAAATTTGTTCAAAGCACATTAAAAAATGAACTAATTATTGTTCAACTTCTGGATGTACAAGTGGTGAAGAATCCAGAAGTGACACTCTGTCACTGTCAGTGTAATATAACCTGTATCGGTAGATTATTTACCACAGTAACTGAGGAACTGTACTAGTCTATCCTTCATGGCATTGTTAACAAATATGTACATTTTCATACATATATTTAATACATTTTCAACAGGCTAACGTTGTATTTCAAATTCATTCATGTTATGGCACTTTTGATTTTATCCAGAATTTTCCACAATAGACTACAGTAAGAGAACAACACATATTGCTGCTGATCACATACAAACA